AAAAAAAAATATATATATATATATAAAAGGACGGTGCTGATGAGCTTGTGTGTTTCATCTCTGCTCGCTGGCTCTGTATGGTGTGATGCCTTCACCTGGGCCTCAACAGAGTGACTCCTGATTGACTGTACGCTTCACGGGAAGAGAATGAGACATTTTTTATGTAACGGCATGCTGAATAGCTCAGGCCTCTAGTTGCTGTGCTGGAATCTGTGAGAATTACTGCATCCAAGCAGAAATTAAATAGCCACCTGGAATTGTTCTTAAATTATATTATTTTATGTTTGGCTGTAGCTGACTTGTGCTTTGAGGCAAAAGAGGAGAAAGGAAGACGCTTCTGAATGCTTTCTGAGTGTTGTCATTAAGAAAATACGTGATTTAAAAGGAAAAAAAAATTATTCTGGCATTCCAGCCTTGATAAGGCATATGTATGCAGACTTTTCATATCCCAGCTCACTTGTGGTATCGTATGGAAAAAATAGTGCTTAGATTCTGCTGAAATACAGGTGTCGCACAGGAGAGCCGTGCGGAGTCAGCAGCGGCGCTGTTCAGGGAGCGAGTGTGCTGGCTAGCAGGTTTGCCTGCTAGGGCTGGAGAACATCAAGTTTTCTATTAGTTCTCAAGCTGCTTGGAAGGATACAAAGGTGAAATGGCCTTTCTCAGCACTGAATAATGGAAGTGTTCTAGGCAGAAAAGAAACAAGTAAATGCAGAGCTGCCACCCTCAGTCTCGATAAGTCCAAACGTCCAAGTGCAAGAACAAAGGAAGTAGGGGAGATGCTTCACTCTTCCTGCCTACTTGTTACATGGGCTAGGAAAGGGAAGCCTTGAAACGCGCCCTGCATGCGATTGTTGTGTATTTTCATTTTTCCCTCCCCTAAGAAGTGTTGTATAATAAGTTCAGTGGTCAAAAAGTGGGATGGCAGCAGGAGGAGAGACGGGACAAGGCAAGTAGCACATATCAAAGGAAAGCCTGCTGCCCTTGTGGCACGAACGTCTTCCATCACAGCAGGAGAAAGGTGCAGGAATTGCCTTGTAACAAGCAGAGGAGGACACGAGCCCAACATGCCGTATAGATCAGAAAGATGTGTGTGACAAACATTGTGCTGACATCAAACAGTGCTGCATGATGAAAACAGGTGATTAAGGAACAGTTAGAGAGAGGATCACTGTATGAAGCAGGGTGCTCTTCTGTACAGTAGGCTGCTGTGACAGACGTTCAGTGGGTTCCTAATGGGGCACGTTAGGTGTTCTGACTTGTGACATTAAAATGGAAGAAATGCTTCTGCGCCTGAAAGAAATGCTTCTGCGCCCAGAAGAAATTAAACGTGGTATATTATACACTGCAGCACAGAATAACCAGGGTTAAAACATGCCATGGAGAGCAGGAAGCGTCTTCCTGCTAACTCTTTCATAATTTAGAAGGGCTTTGTGCCTCTTAGCTACTAAAACTCAATATACTCTTTAACTGTTAAGGAAGATTGTAATGGACGGTACCGAACTGTGCATTCTTCTAGCCTTGGTAGAGGAGATAAGACCATCAGGTATCCTGAAATGAAAATAGGGTATAATTTTTTTTCCTCCCCTCAAAGCTTGTTCCTGTACTGGAAGAAATGCAGAAAAGTACTGTCAGATAGAACTACTTTTTTATTATTATTCTGTAATACAGAGCTGCCAGATGACTTTTTGCATTTTGCAAGAGGAATTTCTCTTGGTTTTGCTGTTGTCCCTCTGTAAGTGTATGCCAAATATATATACTGGTGATGTTTTACAGGTATATTCTGTGTGTGTGTGTGTGTTTGTGATTGAACATACTTTAAGAAATTTGAGGGGATTTGGTAGAATTCTACCAGTGAACATACTTTTTAGTTTATTATTTGATACTTCCCTCGGGCTGTTTCCAGGTGGATTAATCCCAGTTGGATAAATGTTTCAAATAGTGCAAGGGTGAGTTCAAATTAAGAGATCTGCCCTTTCAAGGTGCCAGGTTTTGACTGAATCAGAGTAACTGCACCTTCCTCAAATGCTGGAGAGAGAACATTTGCTTCCTTTTGCTCATTGCTCGTTTTCTGTCTTTCCCACTTGAAACCATCTTTTATTATTCCATCGAGATCTTTATGTTGTGAAGGATTTGTATAAAATCGTAGAATTAATGCGTTCGTTGAAACAACCTTTCCCTCACCCTTTGTTCATTTTGTTTATTTAAATATTTAAGTTTGATTTTGATACAGGGAAAATTTTTTATTTTGTGGACTTTATAGTGTTTAATATAAAAAGCTCTTTGGCTCTTTAGGTGCCTTTGTAATTAACAATTAAAAAGTCACAGTAAACGTTGATAATTTCCTTCAACTTTCTCCCATCTTCCCTAAGTTTCATTTCACAGTGTCCTTGATTCAGAAGTAGTGTTTTGTATTTTTAGTTTAATAACCCCTCTATGAACTTGGCCAATTGCTTTTTCAAAACCTATAAATTTTTGGCAATTACCATGCTCCCCTGTCAGGAAATTCTGCAGCTTGAGCTACACTTGGAATGAAGAAACATCTCTTGTTTTTTAACCCTGTCAGGTTTCTGTATCTTTGAAGGCCCGCGAGGGGCTTGGAAGAAGCAACAAACAGTTCTGTTATGCATATCTTCTTCTTGGCACTCATGGTTTTAGAGATCTTGATCGTGCTGTTCCTCACCCATTTCTAAGGCTGCTAGTCTATTTATTCCTAGTATAGAAGCCATTCAGTAGTTTTGATCAAACCTGTTAACGCTGCTCTTAAACCTTTTTCTCATTCTACTATATCCTTTCCAAACGGAACTGACCAAACTGCATGTAGTACTCAAACTGTGGGCGCACAGTGCATTTCTGTAGCGGTAAGATGGTTCTTTTCTTTTTTTTTTTCCTGTTTTTTTTTTCTCCTCCCCTCTATACTGTTTTCTAGAAAATCTCAACATTTGGTTAGCTTTTCTGACCGCTGCATATTGACCTGGCATTTCATAAAATTGTCAGTGTTAATCCTAAGGTTTTGTTCTTGTGTTGTAGTAGTCAGTTCAGAGTCCCTTATTCTATCTGTAAAGTAGGCTTTGGGGGTTTTTTTTTTTTTTTCCTTCTTCCCATCTGCATTAATTCCACATAAAACACCTTGTATTAAGCAGGTCTCCCTTGTCTGCATGGTTGCTTCACGGAACTCGTCTTCTGCTTTGTAAGGCATGACTTCCCGTTACCAAAGTTTTGATTCTTTTTCTGTGATATACTGTATTTATATATCCATGTGTGCTTTAAGCTGCTCTCTAGAGTCGTTTCTACCAATTGCAAAATGGCTTTTTTCAAACAAGGAAAACTCATTTTAATTTCTGAGCATTGGCTCTCTGATATCGTGAGGTGCAAGGAACGTCTTGGTAACATTTGGTGTTGGCTTATTATTGCTTCCATAATCAGTGCTTTATTGTTAAGGGTTCAGCACTGAATAATTTTGGTCGTTTTATTCTTAGCTTGATTTGAGAATAGAGTCCATCGGGTAGGGTAAGAGAAAGATTTGCTGCTCCAGAGGAACAGTGATAAAGTCAGATGATATCTTCCCCACACAGAGCCTGAAATTCTGTAACATCTTCAAGGCTGTCAAGGCTGGAGGCCTTTAACCCTCCACGAGGATGAGAAGACTAGAGCAATAATGCGAACATTCATAATTGGAATCTAAGTGGGATTTGCCACCTCCTCTCTATGCACGGCTTATGCTATGTGCAAGAAAGAGTTGGTTCTTGACTTATGAGGGATTTTGCTGTCATTTATTTTGAGGGGAGTATCATCTTTTTGAGTGCTGAAAGAGACGTTCTCCCTTCGGATTTTGGAGGGCTATATACTTTAATGATGATGTCCTCTCTGTCTGCAGCTGCTGATGGCATGGTGTGTAATGAGTTATGCTCAAGTGATGGCTGTTGGGGGCCGGGGCCAGACCAGTGTCTCTCCTGCAAGCGCTTCATCAGGGGAAGGACCTGCATAGACTCTTGTAACCTGTATGATGGGTAAGATGCTTCCCTTGCGCTTTTCTCTAAAGATGCTGATAAGGTTGTTTAGAACTTAAATGAATAAGTTATCTTGTTCTTACATTAAGCAATACCTTGTTTCATCGGCACGTTACTGATCTGGAGTGAGATATGCTGTGGGATAAGTTTAAACATTTCGGAATGTAAATTTGAGTAGAGGGATTTACCTAGTGCTCTACCAGCTAAAGTTTCAGGCAACATCACGAGTTTCTTGCAGCTTTTGCATTCCTGAAGACGTGGAGAATTTGCTTAGCTGAAGATACCTGAAACTAAAACCCTGTTAACTCTATTTGAATATCAACACCCCCGTTCAGAGCAGCATAAAGTTATGCTCTTTCAGATCAGTTAGCTTTAGGCAAGTGGTAAAGAAATTCCCTGATTAAGGACCTCAAAGAAGGAAAACTCTCTCTCTCTTTTTTCATGATACACTGTGTATTTGTACACAGCGGTAAATAAAAATAACTTTGAGTTCTTCCCTCCTTTCCTTCTCCCACTGAGGCATATGCACCATCCTTTCTAGGGGATGGATGGGGAATAGACCCACACGCTGCAGAGACAAAGCTGCTTTAGTCTGTCTTATGACAGGAGAATAAAGCTAAACAGCTTAAGTTAGTTGCAGCAGAAAAAATTAATGAGTAGGCCATGGAGGGAAGGGGGTGGAATTTTATTTCCCATGTAACAGTATAGCAAGGTCCCTGGCACTTTTTTTTTTATAAGAAGGATAAAACTCCTAAATCATTTTAATTCTTTTGCCCTCAAGGTCCTAATTTAAAATAAAATCACTGTATTTTTTTTTCCTCTTTGTTTTCCCTACATTGGATGCCAATTCCTGTGACTATGATGGAGAGATTATTGAATGCACTCCCATAGATACTTGAAAATACCCTAAACTTTTCCTTCTGGAGAATGCATGCAAAAAACCCCTTGTCGGAGTACAGTTTTATGTGCTTTAAAACTACCCCCTCACCCAACTTTGCAGGCCAAAATTATTTTCTTATATGCACCTGAATAAACTGGGCTAAACTGAAGTAGATTTTGCATCATATGTCATCTGGTTCTAGCCTGAACCGTGTCTCAGCAACTTCGCTAGGAGACTCTGACGTGGCGTAACTGGCCACGACCAAGTCAGGTTGTGATTTCTGAACTGTATCGGTTGGAGAACAGTTATTGTGACCTGGGCTCATGGAGAAGTTTGGTTTTTTTTTTCCATTGAGAGCTCTGCACATTCATCTCATAGGGCAGCTCCAGTACATCAGGGTAGGTGTCTTTGTCTTCTCTTTCAGTCCTCAGTAGGAAAGTTTTATCTCCAAAGTTAGAGGAGGATCAGCTTCCTTGTAATAGTCATCTGAGGTTTTCCGCAACTAGGCAGTTGCAATAGATTCTAACCTCTGCAGAGAAGCAGAGGGCATCAGTTAACCAAGCACGGAGACCTTCATAGAGATAGTAGTGCAACTCCACTACCTGTTTAATACATCAAGATGGGGTTCATCCCAAAGCTTAGGTGTCTGGTCTGAGCTAGTTACATAGGTTCTCTCTGGTTAGTGAGAAAGAAAAGACCTGTTCAGATATTAGTTCATGTCATCTTAGAAGATGATAGTGGGATGAATTGTGTCATGAAGAGGTCTTTTTTTTTTTTTTTTTTGTTTGGGGTTTTTTTGCTTGTTTGGTTTTTTGTTAGTGACAACTAGCTGAAACGAAGACACCTGATTTACAATGATGTCATGGTGTTTGATGGGGAAAAAAAAATCCCACCTACTGTCACAAATCACAACTTTGTGCCAGAGGTTAGCTGGCGAATTAAAATACTTGTTTTTCCCCTTCATAAGCAGTTTACAATAAAAAGGATCACCTGGGTGATGGTTTCTTGCAGATACCTGAAATTAGTAAACTTTTTTTTTTAAAACTCTCTATAGATTCAGACTTGGTTGTGTGTGAAACAGTTAGGAGACTTTTGGAGAATGGGCTTTCAAGTGGGAGTGTTCACACAGACTTAATAAAAACAACAGAAAGAAAACTGTGATCAGTGCCTTTGCAATACTTTCCTATCTGATGATGATATCTCACCAGTAACAAGCGACTCTGGGAATTTGAGTTCCGAGTGACGAGTCCATAGAAACATAGAAATGAGTAATTTCCTCCTGTAAATGAGGTCCTTATTTCTTAAAGCATGAGGAGGAAAAAAAGCCCAGTAGTTTGATATTGTCAGACAAAATGTCTGCTGCTTCATGTGTCTGTGAGTGATGTTGCTGACGGGGCACAGTTTTCAGCTGATGTAAAGCAGCAGAGTGCCATTAAAAGAAGTGATCTCAGCTGAAACGATTTCCACCAGGTGAAGGGCCAGCCATTTTATCTGTTTCAGTTTCAGTTTTTGCTTTTTCCTAACCTGTCTGAAAAAAATATTTCCCTAGGGAGTTTCGAGAGTTTGCAAATGGTTCTGTCTGTGTGGAGTGTGATCCCCAGTGTGAAAAGATGGAAGATAATATGATCACATGCTATGGGCCGGTAAGAACAACATGCGCTATATTGTTGGCTAACAATACAGGTTGCTGTAGTGTGTTAAAGCATAGGTATTCTCTGTTTACAGAATCAGAGTGGCTACTGAAAGTTAGTGTTGACAAAAGCAGAAAAAAAATATGTGTGTTCTGCATGTGGGGGCAGAATTCTGTTAAACGGCAAGCTAAGTAAACTCCCCTGGATCACGTTCCTTAACAAAATGATTTTAAAGGTAGTATCCTTTTCTTTTGTGAGTTATCTGAATGCCTTACTGGTACAGATACACAAAATTGCTTATTTCCTGTGTGCATGCAACATCCTATATTGCTTTGGCTGCTTCTATCTTTCATTTTTAAATGACAGATAGTATTCAGTTGTGCTTTGAGTGACCTCTTTTATGTTTGTTTTTATTCATAATACTCAATTCAGTCCTATTCTGCTAACATTTCAATTACCTTTTTTCCCACAAAGTGTGGGGATTTGTCTCAATCTCTCTGCAACCTTCCTTGAGCAATTGTTTTTTTTCGACTTAGATTAGCTTTTTAGTCTCTTTGAAATGGGATTTCTTGCTTGCATCCTAAGATCAGTGTTAACCATGACTATTCACCCTTGTAATGGTCGATGAGTTTTGTTTCATAGGTTGCTGCTCTTTTGTGGGACAGAGAGAAGTCATCTCTGTCTCTTGGTCTTTTAATATTGCAAAGGTTAAAAGCAGAAAACATCCTGGGCAATGATGAGTTGTAATCACTGAGACAATTTGACCTGTGACTTAATTCCTTATTTCTCTGACTTACCTACTGCATTAAAAAAAAAAAAATTACACAGGCAGTCATTCTCATCATCTTTTTGTTTTCTGCGATGCCACATGAAGTAAGAAGCTAACGTTGCAAGTTTTCAGCCCAGGAGGGAAATTGGGATTTGTAGCAGGGCTAACAGGGCTCATAGACATAGAATCCTAGTCCTTTGCCCAGACTGAGCACCAGATTTGGTTGGCTCCACTGGCTTATCATCACAGCTTTTAAATTTTACTTTTAAATTCTCCAGGCACCTTGGTTTATAGTTGTTAGCAGCTTCATCGCCATGTGTATAAGGAAGGAAACCGTGTAGTTCTTCAGTATTGTTATGACCAGAAACCACAGGCGGGATGCAGCAGAAAATGGTTCAGGAATGCAGAGTTAGTGAGTCCCACTGAGAGGCCACTGCAGTTGCTTTGCAGGTGTGGTTCAGTACTGAACAGGGTTGAAAGAACTTCCTCCCTATAAGTTAGTGGACATCAAGTCCATTGTGATAACCACACCAAATAAGAAGAAACCTATTTAGCAGCTGGAGTTATTCTCGGCAGAGTAACTTTATGGCCAAGTGCACCAGGATTTACACGTGTGCCTCTCCTTAGCAGTAGCCGGAACCACTCGGCTAACTCACTGTTCATTGAGAAGAGAGCGCCACTGCAGTTATTGCTGAGTGTGCTGTCAGTCTAGGACCTGCAATTCTAGTGCAGCAGTAAAAGGCAGATTAACTTGAACACACTGCATTTCTTCCATGCTCTCTAGGGACCTGACCACTGTACGAAGTGTTTCCATTTTAAGGACGGTCCAAATTGCGTGGAAAAATGTCCTGATGGCTTACAGGGGGCAAACAGCTTCATTTTCAAATATGCCGATGAGGATCGTGAGTGTCATCCTTGTCATCCAAACTGCACCCAAGGGTAAGTGCACATTCTGTGAACTGAGCCACTTTTGTTGCATGTCATGATTTAAGTACAGTTTGGCTTGGTAAAGCATTTGCCTCATTCCAGAAAATAGTGCTTGTGCAGGCAGCAGTAATATAACTTTTCATTGCCAGGTCTGTCGTTACATTTGGGTTCCGGTCGTGAATGTCCAGCAGCTTTTCTGAAAAAAAAAAAACTTACACCGCTTTTGAAAAGCATACAGCAATGCTCTTGGATTTCTTTCTAGCTTTGGTTTATAGCAAATGTTGCTATGGATGTTTATGTGAATGTTGGCCTGTGCAATGACTTTAGTATTTATTTGTTGATAGAATTTTTATCCTTGCTCCCTGGTATTGATGGACTCCCCCCTGCAGCAATTCTGTGAGACAAAAAAGGGTTACCGCTCCCTGTTACAGAGGCGGACTGATGCAAAGGGTTTGTCTGAAATCAGAGTTTGTGCAGGAATCTGAATCTGAGCATCAGTTACCCCAAATCACCTGTTGCATTTGAAAATATATACACTGTTGTATCTGGGTCAGAATTGAGAGCTCATGCAACAGAATAACAGTGGTCAAATACACAGCTGTTGTTTTGCACGGCACCCAGGAGTTAGAAAGGTCTTTTTGGCAAGACAGTTGGTGATGTCCGGCATACGAAGAAAGGGAGAGGCAGCCTGAGGGGAAAAATGAAAAAACTTCAGCCCGTGAAATAAGCTTCCACAAGAGGCTTTTATTGTTTAGCAGCTAAAATTAAACCAGTAAATTATTCAATGTAATCTTGATGTCAACAGCTGTTGCCATTCAAAATGAGACCTTTTGCTGGGTTTGCAAATCTAATTACAATAGAGCCATTAGGGAAATGAAAGTGAGATCGCAAAGACACAGCCAGGATCTGTTACAGATTTGTCTTCCGCGCAGGCCCTGTAAATCAGTTATGCAATAAGAAAAATGCTGCTACCGTGGAAGAAGAGCGTAAGAAGAAACAATACCAAAAGACGAGCTTGCTTCAGGAGCTTCAATCCTGGCTGTAATAGAAGGTGGAAGCACCAATTCTGACTGAACCTGACAGGCCCAGCTGTGGCTGATAGATTTACTGTCCAGTCTGTATAAGAGGTGTCTTGCAGCTGTGCTGGGCCTGTAGGCAGACCAGCATGCGACAGGCTTTCCCATTGCCGCCTCTGTTCCAGGAAGGTCTGACTGATCTAACTCCTGCTAAACTTTGTGGCACAACTGTGTTTCACCTGGACCGGGAAGGGAACAGAATATTTTCCATTCCTTTCCGCTTCCTCATGCGCACCAATGTTTTGCAAGTTGACTCTTTCCTTTTATCTCCCTGGGTAGAATGGGGTCAAGAAAGGAGGCCTTTACACCTTGTGGTGGAAATCTCACACTCTAGTCCATAAACAAATAGGAAGGGCATTAGGCAGCTGTAACTGAATTTGCTGGTGTTCATTGGCAACCCGTAGTGATGCGGAGTTCATGGATGGTGAGTATTTATGTTGGAATTGTATCCCTAAACTTCCAGCTTTTCCTTCTTTTCTTCCTGCAGCCATCTGCTCCAGCTGATTAGGTGAAAGGATGTCTTCTGCAGTGTAATGTGCAATCCCCAGAGAAATGAGAAGGTAGCGAAGGTGCCAAAGATTTCTCCTGGTTTACACGGGCAAAAGTGTGGTCATCTTCCAGAGGAGGAGCTGCTCTCCCTTTGCCATCAGTCAAATACTAGTCCTCGCAGAAATCCTCATCCTCTTCTTATTAAAGGGTTAATATGTCTGTTCTGAGGTCTTTTGCCACTCCTCCTAAAAACAACCTCCCCAAAATCTGGGTAACTATAGATATTTTTTTTCTAATGTTTCTAAAGGCTTTCTGGAACGTGCTTCTCTTTCTGCAGTTCTGGCAAACTGTGATGATCATCAGTGCCCCAGAGGCCTGAATTTTATGCATTGTCCGTCACCTTGCCGACGTTGTCAGGTTCTTGCTGCGTACGCCCACGGAGAGAAGAGGAATCAATTAGTCTCTTTTGCTTCCAACACTGAGTTCTGCAGTTTCATACCCTTCCTTGAGAAATGAGTATTTAAATCCGCCCCCTCCCCCCCATCAGGATTCTTCAGTAAAATAGGATATTTTACTGAAGAAAATATCCTTCAGTATATTTTCTGAATATAGGGGGGTGGCCCCATCTTGGTATTTATTTCTCTTGATATTTGGCCCACAACTGAATGGTACAGAGAAACTGTAATTGCACTCCATCTAGCACGTCTGTTCTGCTCTCTGGCAGATCAGATGCCGGAATAAGACCGACACGCTAGCAGGACAGCCTAGATAGTTGTCAAAAAGTGTTGCGCTACCGCAGAGCGCTGCTCCCAGTACAGTGTTATCTCACTCCTGCAGTGCTGCGCTCTCTGAATCAGGGTGCTTGCTAAAATGAGTGGTTAGTTCTCATACTTTGTTTCTAGTCAACCCCAACCCTTGCTGTCACAGAGGCAGGTATCTATCCCACCTCTGTGTTGCCTGTATAGCACTTTGCCGCGATTTCTTCAAGACGCTGGCAGCTGATTGCTTAACACCCCCGAACGTGAGACTTGATTATACCATTCTCCTCCCTTATTGAAGTATAATGGCTACTCCTGTTAATAGTTGTGTCATTATCCAGCCCTGTTAGTCGTCTTACATTGACCAAGGGAACTGTCAAGGAGTGACTTCCTTGGATGCAGGAGCTGTGCTCTTGGCCTTGCATCCCCGTGATAAGCATCAGCTACTTGAAGCCAGTTGGGAGCAGAGCGGAGGCGCACGAGGCAGCTATCTCATTTAATTCATGAGAGTTCAGAAAGCATTTGGCACTTCTTCTTGCAGAGCTGTCCAAAATGGAACACTTTCACAGAAATAAAATACTAATTATATAATAGCATTTGACAGTCTGCTTCCTCACCAGGCGAGATACAAATGGGAGATCCCACTGGACACCTCCTCTCATCATTGAAAGGCATTTTTTTTCAGAGAATTTTTTTGAAGGAAATGCACTACTCTTCAAAAAAACTTTTTCGTTACTCTAAGCCAAGAGCAGAGAAGTCGTGGGAGCCTTATCAGCACACGTGTGACCCAGAAGGGGTTTGAAGGCACAAGGACTGTTTTGCGCCTAAAGTTTACGTGTATTTTTAGAAAGGCCTTTGGAATTCTAGGTGGCCTGATGGTACAAATTCAATGGCAACAAACTCTGATTAAGAGAGTGGTTATTATTTGGTCGATGCAAAATCTCTTCCTTAACTTGCTTATTATCACCCCAGTATGCAGTTCCTCTTTTCTAACTTTTTGCTACTCCAGACCTATGAAAAATTAAGGACCCACCTTTCTATCTTAAAGTTACTAAGAGACAATTCTTGAGAGAGTTGGAGAAAGGGTCATTTCAGAAAAAAACATTGTTACTCCAATTTTCAAACTGTTTTAACTCATCGCTTTCTTTCAGAGGATAATTATCTGTAATGCTGGGATGAGCCCCAAGTGCAGTTTTCTGTATAAGCTGTATTGGGCTATTGTAAAATATTGCAAATCTCATTAATAAATTGGGACATATCCATTAATGGGTTCATTTTACAGGGAGAACCTGGAAATGAAAGTAGCATCCAGACCCCAAGCAGAAGAAGGAACCCTGGGGGTGAATTGAGTACCCGAGTGATGTACGATTGTGTTGTACTTGGACTTACGTGTGTCAAAAAGCCTGAAGCAAAGGCAGTTATTTCCAGAGGAAAAATAACTGATGATTTTATGGTGACAATCAGCTTGTTAATAGAACCAAGTATTTGTTGCCATTACTCACGTAATACTGTAATGTGCAGCATTTAAACCGGGGCTGCCAGGAGAAGAGCATGGAGCTGTGCAACGTGACTAGGCGTGGTGGAAATCGCACCTGGACAGACTTTTCTCTTTGGGGCTGGGAAATCCACTGCAGGAGATCATAGGTTTAAATAAAATCGGTGGTATTTCAACTTAGACGTGGGCAAGGTCCAAACAGCTCTTTCTGGTTTCAGATCCTGTTCTTCGAAAGTCTGAGAGAATAAATGCAGAGATGTGAAATGACTCCAAGACAATAGGCTGTTACGTTAGTCTGCCAGCTATCTGAACTAGTACTGGGCTCCCAGCCCTCTAATTTGAAGAGGGCCTCCTTTTTATTTACAGCAAGAGTGTGAGCTCAGCTTCTTTTGACACGCTGGGAAATGGAAGTTCCGAACAACTTTTTTCAGCCTCTGTCATTACTGAACTGATTTTTCTGCAAAATGCTGAGCAGGCCGTGCAAGAAAAATGTTGGATATTACCGTGACTGGACAGAATTTAGACCTCTGAAGCCCAAGGCATTTGAAATTTCAAAAAAAAAAAAAAAAAAAAAAAAAACACCTGTTAAGAGTTCTCTCATATTTCTTGAGTTGCATTTAAATCTACCCTTGGCACTTTATGCATTTTCTGGCCACCTGGGTATTTAATGAATCCATTTTATGTCTGCACATATGCTGCTGGAGATGGTTACTGAGGAAATCCTTACAATCTGTTTTTGCGTGTCCCAGCTTTTATGTGAAATAAAGATCCAAGTCAACAAAGAAGAGCTAAAGTACACCGTCATTCTGTTAGTCCTGATGGGCAGGAAAGGAGAGAAGGCAGCGAAATTGAGTTCACTGAATTTGTTTTATAAGGGCGAAATGATAGTTGATTTAGACGCAGGAAAAGCTGATGAGTGGCAAGTGATGGGGAAGTGGAAAGAAGGTCTCATGGGAGCATATTTAAACTCCCTCAGGTTTTGACATAGTCTCCTTTTCTCAAAACCAAACAGAGAGGGAGACTTTACAACAGAGATGGGGATCGCACCTTAAATTCAAAATGCCTCAACACAAGTGAGTTTTAAGCTTCTGTCGGAGTAGGTGATCTGATAAAAAGATCTTGAGATCTTGTTAAAGGGATGAAGTGGTTTGGTTTCCTTAAAACACCAGGAGCTAGCCAGATGCCTTAAGAGGCGGTCCCTGTGTCTACAGAGGGACTAGCTGGGCATTCAGCACCGAGCAGTGTCACGCTATCTTAAACCCCTAAGGGCGTAACTTTGTGTATCTGTTTACACAGTGGTCAAGAGTCTCCAAAACAGTATAACTGAGTTTCTGTTTGAATGCAGAGGGCCTCCTATACCACCTCATGGACTGCTCTTCATAAGGGTTAGGAAACTCCTCAACTATCCATGTTTTGCAAACAGGCACTTTGCCTATGATTGCGCTGCAGCGGTGCCACATAAAGCGATTTCCCGTGTTTCCTCTGGTGAGCACCTGCTGCTTTTGCAGGTGGAGGGTTTTTGGCAGCATCTAAGGAAGGCAGAATAAGATGCCTGAATCAGCAGAGACGCCGTTTTGCTGTTTCTTTTTTTTTTTTTCTTCCCCGCTGCCCTTCCCCAGGAATCTCATTTTTGAGCTTCCCTGATAAAAAAAAGTACAATCAGCTTCCAGAACGTTCCTGCTGTCCCCCCAGCTCGGCAGTTAGAACAGAATGAACCATCGCATTAATTGCAGAAGGAGGAAAAAAGTTTTGTATTGTGGTCCTGGAGGTCCTGAGTGGTGCAAATGAACAGCTTCTGTGCGGTAATCACTGGTTTGATTCAAACAGCATCCAAAAAGAGCAACTCCGTTGTCAGGCCTCCCATGTTTGCAGATGAAACCTGCCTCTAAGTATTGTTTGAGCCAAGATTCGTCCAACCTTGAAGTGCTGTTTATGTTGCTATTATTGTTCCCATCACGAGCTTGTTTTTGTCACAAGCTATAATTTGTGGTGACTTGGGTCTCTCTTGAGAATTGTAATTAAGAATGTGGCACAAAGGGGGGATTCCGGCTTCTTAGATCTGTAAATAACAGATTTCTCTCTTTCTCTCCTTGTTTTTTCAATTTGGATTTGCTGCAGGTGTATAGGTCCACGTATTGAGGACTGCATCGGCCTGATGGATAGGTACTTGCTGAGCGATCGTTCCCTGTGTGTCCTTCCATCCTCCACGTGTGGACAAGGGCGCATGCGTGTGCATGTCCTTGTGAATGGCAAATGACGTCTTTTGTTCTGTAATTGCCTGCAGGTGTAGAGGTCCCGCTAGTCATGACTGCATTTACTATCCATGGACACGCCAGTCCACTTTACCACAACATGCTAGGTAACATCCACCACTTTTCCATTTTTGTACACGAGGTCCTTCCCTAGTTACCATAGGAACGTTGTACTATCCAGTTTGGTCAGGAATGCAAGTCGTGGGGAGAATATAATTTGTCCTTAACGTTGAGTTGTGCCTCTGAACGTCCAAATTTACCATTTGAAAGTCAGTTCAGACATTTTATGCATTTCGGCTGATTGGAAAATGCCATGCATTTCGGCTGATTGGAAAATGCCCTTTTTTATTTTTTGGCTACGCTTAAGGCAAATAAAATGATTTGATTCTGAAACTCCCTGCAAAAATACCTGTTTCTTGATAGAAATTTTCTGAAAGTAAGCACAAGGAAAAAGTCTGATTAAATTGGAATTTACATTTTTTTAAATTCGTTATGGTTTTAAAAGACAACTTAAAAAAAATGAAACTTTTTCTTCTGTAGGTCTTGTTTTGTGGAACAAAGTAAACGTTTCAGGAAAACTGAATTTCTTCCTCAATTGACAGAACGCTCTATCTGATAACTTTTTATTTTCTGTTTAAAAAACATCTAGCAGCAGTTTTGTTTTTCAGTGATGATGATCAAACCAAATTTCTGTAGGAAGAATCCCGAAACATTCCAGTTGCGCTCTATGTTGTCTTTTGTGAAAGCCCTTCATTGCCATTGCTTGTGTTTATTTTTAAATTCAAACTGGTTAGTATGACTTCCAGGCTGTGGGGTTGCTGTTGTGAGCTAGAACTGGATGAGAAATGTATCCTCCCAATCAGCTTCACCTCATTGAGCATTTTACTTTTTTTTTCCCTTGTCATAGAATTGAATGTCCTTAAAGTTCAGATTTGAAGTTTGAAAAAAAAAAAAAAAAGTTGCCTTTACTTCCTAGTTACGTACCTAATGGGAAGATCCCAACTTCCTAGCTGTTGCAGGCGAACGTGTTTAGACGTGAAAGGCAATATTCTGGAAATGCTACCAGATGGTATATCCATTTAATTAAACTGGTGACAGTTTGGACTCGATTTGTAGCCCAATGGTTAGGCAGTAGAAGACGACTGAGTTTTTCAAATTTGAGTGTTTTTTGGAATCTTTCCATTTTGAGATATCCGATTTGAGATGCGTACTCATCCAAACTGAGATGCCCAAAACCCTCAGTCAGTTTGAAAGGTGTGCATTTCATCAACTTTACCCTAGGCACAAATGTAGAAATGTATTATTATTTGCATAAGTTTGGGAGGGGCTTACTAAGACTACTTAAAATGGGGGACGTGCTGAAGTTCTTTGCTTTAGTAATCAGCTTTAAAATAACATGCATTTCATCACTTCAGTTTTTAATCAGTTTCTGAAGGACTATTCAGAGCTTCACACTAGGATGACTTCTTGTCATGCCGTAGTGTTGCAGAGGTTACAGTCTGTTACAGTCTGCTCATTCTAGCTTCCCCTGGTAGTACAAAAGCCATGCAGACTTGTTCGCTGTTTAGCCCAGCTGGTATAACGGCAAAACTTAACTTTGCATTGCAAATGTTCAGATAGTATGTAAGTCTCTGTGGGTACTGCCTAATACCCGCCAAAGTCAGTGGAAAGACTCCTGTTAAACATAGTAGATTTCACATCGGACCCTACATTTAAAAAGCAAAAGTGAAATTAGAGGTGTGGGACCTCGAACGTGATGACGCAACAGCGAGATGATGTTGCCTAGTGCCGGACTTAAGCCATGCGTCAGCAGGCAATGCTTATTTTGGTTTGTGTGCAAGTCATAGCGTTCGTCTCCTTGAGTCAGTAAACTGTCGTCAAGGTAGTAAAGCTAACTATTAAGGGTGGTGAAAATTAAAGTAAATATTTTACTCTACTCAAACGAGGCGTTTTCTGCTCCATTCCGTGTGAACAGCAGTTGACGCTCAAATGTTTCCTGCTAGATTTGGTGGAATTTCTTGGTTATGCTTTGCTGAACGTTTGTTAGGAAAATCACTGTATACGTGATAAAATGCTAAATAGGTGTGTATTCTTTCACTTTCCAACCAAAGAAAGAAGCCTCGGGCTTTCTTTCTTCTGTATGTATTTGATTTGTAAAATTGTGCATTTTGGGGGGCAAAACTGCACTGGCAAAAGTGGTACTTTTTATTTATGATAGAAGGGATGCCAGTCAAAATGGTTCCAGTTTAGGTGGCACCTTCCTCATGTCCCTTTAACAGTTCTGCATCCTCCTTAGGCTTACAGACCTTAAAAAAAAAAAAAAAAAAAAAGTTTTACCCTTCCCCACGGATTTGAATTTCTGCCATTGACTTGAATTAGCATCGGGTGGAAGGGCAAGGTTCTCTGCTCTTTGAGCGGCTGAAAAAGAGAGCAGGGCTCTGACTGCAAACACATGAGATATTTCTCATGTCTTTCATCTGTTTCCATTTTCATACTTGTGTTTTTCTTTCCAGTTTTGCAGTTTGCAAATTGTCACGATCCATTGGCTTGAGGGCTTTTGCAAGAGTCTGGTAGGGTAGCGGAGAAATTTTTACTGTCATGTTTAATAAAGAGGAATCAGATGTACATCGCATGGTTTGTTTTCCAAATGACGAGCAAAGCTTCAGCTTCTCTGCGTGCGTTTGGTTCTGTGGAAAGAGTCCTTGCTTTTGGTGTTGAGTGGCTTCCTGCATAGTTTGATTTGGTTTTGGTTTTTTGGTCCCTTAACTTCAGTACAGTGCTGTCCAAAATAATGTTAGAAACCTTCTTATTCCCGTGTTTTCAGCTCAGTGTCACTTCAGGCTATTTTACTTTTCCTCTAGACCACCTGATAGATGCTTCAAATGATGGGTTACTGGTCAGATCTCTTGAGTATGCCTGTCCTGTTTTTCTGCCTGAGGACCGAAATGTATTTTCAGTGCATTGTTTATTCTCACAGAGGCCTTGACCACGTTCTTAACTGCCAGAAAAAGTTCACACTCTGAAGGAGTAAATGTCGTCTTGACCAACAGAAGCTTTTAGAGCTCGTGGGAGAAGTGAGCCCCTCTTCTGCTTGGGGCTAATTCCAGCTATTGTAATTACAGCTCTTGCCGACCCCTTCGGGACGCAATAACGATGCTCAGTGCCGAAGGGCAGGACAGGCCTCGGCAGCGGAGAATTCCCCGAGCCCAGGGGAGTCCTTGGCTGGTGTAAGGCTGACGTAGCTTCTTTCTTAGCCTCCTTTTCTCCCTTCTTCCTCCCCGCCGTACGGAGAGTTTCTGCCGAGGGACCGTACAGGAGCCTTGTGTTCTGAGCTAAATCAGCTCTTCAGGCTAGGCTGTGGTCAAAGTTTGTGACTTGAAGTATGAATTTTAAACGTGTTCCTCCTCCCCGTGATGCATTCAACTTAAAACTGGAAAAAAAGATCAGCAAAGGAGTGAAGTTTCCGTTTTTCTGGTGCATGAGAGATTGTAAGCGTGAAGGTGTAGTCAGAAGCATGTGGTGGATGTGGAAAGGAAAGAAATAGCACCGTAATGTATTCATCTGAATAAAGTGATGTCTCCGTTGATTTATGCCCTCAGGAAATTTCATTCCCGTGTTCCTTTTAACTAACAGAAACTAATTAGCCAGGCCCACCCTTGTCAAGTGGTCACATAAAGCGATGTGTGGACGTTAACTCAAATTACAGGCCTAACACTTTCTTTATAGCAACAAAGGACGTTTCCTCAACGAATCATCGCTTCCTAAACAAAAAAGCTGTTTTATGTGCTGTGTTTGTGTACAAGAGCTAATTAACAGTAAACCCTGTATAACAAGGCAAATCCTTCCATAGCTGTTTGGTACCCCGCCACAGCGTGACTTCGGTAGACCTTCACAGCGGCTTAGGAGCTCTAAAAAGATGATGGGGAAGGGAAACCCCCCTGTAGGAAACTTTTAGTGTTCATTGCTTTTATGGTGCTCTGTTCCACTGCTTGGGGGAAAGCGCTCCATATGTATAGTCTATATTTTTATAGAGTAATTATAGTCACTTCTGGAGGGGGAAGAAGAGGAGAATCTGTATAAAATAAGAGGGAAAATAGGATCTGAGAGTTCAAATTAAGCCACATACCTGTCCTGATTGGAAAAAGGTGCTACTCTTGAGGTACTTTTAATATGGCATTCTCTGATGTTGTACCGAAACAGATCAGTTGAAGAAGCCGACTGTATCTTTTGGTTTTTGAGGGTTTTTGTTTTCCCCTAGGAATTGAGACTAGGAAAAACGTTTAGAGTTTTTGGTCCTATGTCTGTGGATTGGGTAGAGCTTTGTCCGTTTAGGACAGACTGACAGAGAAATCCTTGTTCTGTGTGAGAACTTGCCGCTGCTGAACTGCTTCCCAAACAGACCTTTGCCGTGGCCGCGTTTTTTGTCACACCAACTGCCTGGGGTTTTAGGAGGAGTGTGTTTTGAGGATCCCTGTGACACGCGGGAAAGCCACTGGCTTGCGGGATGATTTTCTTTTGTAAAAGCTGTCCCACTTTTTACCACTCTGATTTGTTGAGACCGGTCTAGTTGGAACAAAGGCTGCGTGGGCATTAGTTCTTTTTTGCTACAGAGATGTGACCACCGATGAAAACCCTTTTGTTCTATAACGTGCTGAGAACAATTTGTCTGGGATCAGGTTTTCTAGTTAATGTGCTTCACCTCCGTAGGGTTGGCCAGTGTGGTCTTCCAGGATAGAAGTATTTGATAGGATCTGCTGCTCTAAAGAGAGATGAAGATAACCTGTCAAGGTTGGGAGAGTGCAGGAGCTAGAGTCAATAGTCACCCAAGTGCTTTTTTTTTTTTTTTTAAATCTGTGCTCCAGTAGTCGGAGGACCCTGTTGAGAGTGCACAGGATGGAATAAGGCAGGACATTTGATGTAAGCCGTAGTTTGTTGTACAAGGAGCGGAACGCGAGTGAAATACTCTGATGTGTATTGAGGTTGTTGGTGTTCATAGAGCAAGCGTCTCAGCGGCAGAGCTCATGCTTGGCGGATTTGACTAACAGTCGTGATTGAATGGCGGTGCATACCAAAAAGAGAAATGCCAAGGTTGGAGAAGTTGCCCTAG